GTTTTATATTCTGGTTATGAGCAGCAGTTGAATTTAAAACAGTATTTCTTTCACTTCACAAACTTTTAAACTCAAAAAGACAACATTGCTATTTAACAGTGTATTTAACAAGTTTCAACAGTGCTGCCCAAAACAATCTGAGGGTGAGTGGAATGTATCCTGTGTTTTAATTAATCACAGCCTTTGAGTGGGGACTTCTTTTGATGGAAGGTATTTGCAATTTTGGGTCATGTTGTTCTAGGTACTAAAGTGTCACAGAAATTCATCCAGGAATTTAGAATCTACTTTTAATCTAATCTCCAAAGACCCCTTTTTGGTTTTCTTTCATCTGGATCACGATGGGCCTGTGAGGTGTGACTACACGGTTGTTCACGATTAGTCTGTGATCAGCAGACAAAAAGCCTGTTGCTTCTTTGTCAGGAATGTGTATTTTTCCATTATTTTCTGTTTGATAATAAAAAGTTTCTGGCTCTGTGGACAATAAACCATGAATACTAATATTCCCTCCTTAATACTAGAGATGACGTATGCTTAGCTATTGTGTAAATAAATTGTCTACTGATAGCATAAGACAGTATCTGCAGCCCATTCAGGTTGCACAAGTAGCCTAGCTCCTCCAGAATGTACATGGAGCCAGTGCATGGTGTTGGAAGAAAACTCGCTTTGTTTTCTAGCAGTTTCAGGAGAGTAGGACAGGGTTGTAGAACGGCATCAACCCAGCTCTTCAACAAAAGGTGACAAAATGACTTCTAATGTGCAGGTTCCTGACCAAACTGTCAGAAAAAGACTTCATGCAACACTCATGAAGTCTCAACATCCTTAGTGGGACCTGTGCTCACAGCCCAGCACCATGGACGTTGGCCGCCTGTTTTACCTAATTGAAGTCGTGGCTTCTGTCAGAACCAGACTCCATAAAGTCCTGTTTATGGAGCCATTGATTTTCTTGTGATGATCAAGTGTTCCTTAAGTTTTTTTGAGCAGTGCAGTTCCATCAGTTAAACAGGTTTCTCATGCCCTTGTGCTGGATTTCTATCCACTGGGAACTACTTGGGTCATTGGCAGCTGCGTAAGCTTACTTTTCTTCTCATCTCGCTATTTATGGTCTCTTTTTCTTTTGTATAAAAGTTTGTCATAGCATCCAATCAGTTTGAGATAAATCTCAGGCACAACTCCACCATCTGCCGTAGCAGCAGATGTTGAAAAATATCATTAGCAGTATCAGCCAGTACTATCACTTCTAATATTCACCCTGCTGATGGCAGTGGAGACAGGATCATGGTCCTGTTGGTATTTTGGCCTGACAGATAGGGGAAACGGAAAGACAGCTCAGTGCTTGTGGTGAGAAATATCAGCTCTGCACAGTCTGATAAGGTCAGCTATATACACTGGTATCTTGGGGACGATGTTTGTGGTCCATTCTGATGTCAGACTCTTTATCTTTGAGGTTTTTACTCAGATGGCCCGTCTATTTTTGTCAGTCACTATATTCTTGTAATATACATATATATATATTTTTTTTCTTAGCTGCTTATCTTTTAATAACAATGAATAAATGTTTAATTCTTCAAATATGTTTCTTTGCTTAGTTAAAGATATTTTTGATCGCTCAGATATTGGTTCCTTAGTACGTGGGTGACTTTGCACATCTAACATTACCAACTGTTGCATATCATCAGAGAAACAATAGCATGAGCACGAATTCAGTTAGAATGCAGTGGGCTCTGAAAATTTGTATGGCTCAAGAATATGTGGCCAAAAAAGTAAACAAAGCAAAATTAACCTATTTTGCTTTTTTAGTGAAGCTTTTGTCATTTCAAATTAGTACATGCTGATGGAAGTTTTAGTGTGTATGAAGCTGAAGGAAACAATGACCTTGCATGCTCACAAGTGGTTGGAGGAATGTATGAGACTGTTGTTGGCAGAGCTGATTTCATCAATGGGTTTGGCAAGAATGTATACTATAGAGGACATCTTTATTGCCTCTAGAATCAGGAGTGGTTTTATGGAGCCAAAATGTACATCAGAGGGAGCGAGTCATTTATTTTCTAGTTTTTAATATTACTGTACTTTATTATATGCATCAGCGCTTGTAAAGGACTCATGGGATTATCGGTCAGCAAGGTGTAGTGGGCATCTGACTTTAAAGAAAAGGAAGTCTCAGCTGGAGAGTCAACTTTCTTGCCCCCCTTTCTTTTCTTTCCTGTCTTCCTTGTACTGCAGCTATTGATGTAAATGGCATTGTAAGAGCAACATGTTTTTGCAATTTATTTTATTTATTTTTTTAAATTTTTGTCCATCAGTCTGAGATCCTTGAAAGGGTTTTCCCCTATCTCTTGATAAGTAAAATGTCAGTTATGTTTTCTACCATCGGTTAAAAGCATCTCTTTTTGGTGTATTACATCTCGTAGTGATTTTAACTCATATTCCAAGTTGATTGATGAATGTGTCTCTAGATATTGGGCACTCTGCTGTTCATTCTGCACATACGAGAATACCATTTTTATGCTGATTAAATTGTATTTGATGCATAGATGTCACTGGAATTAAAAGATACTTTTAAAGATATTCAGACCTGGATTTTAATATAAAATCCTTCTAAACTCTTAAGAAGCAAAAATGTGAATCTGACTGAGAACCTGAGGAGACCATACACATGCAGTAGGAACTTTCAGTCACAAGGTAGCCAAGCCATAAATCATATCTGCTTTATTTTGTTTTAATCTAAAACATTAATTTACAAAGTGACTGTCAAGCATCATTGAAAAAGTCATTACCAATGTGGTTGGTACTTTAATATGCATTAGGTAAACGTTTACTAAAATCAAGTGCACCAATTGATGGCCATTAGAAATTATAAAGACTTCGGACACTTACTTATTTGCTTTTCTTGTCAGACTTTGAGACTTCTTCTGATCTTTATATTGATTATTTCTAAATCCTCAAACTGAAGATCTTGCTTAAAAATTCAGATTTTTTTTGCCTTCACAATGGAGTAAACCCTCTATAAAAAATAATGCCACTATACTGCCAACACAGGATCTTTAGAGATGATATGTCTGTTAATGTTAGGTCGCTATCACTGTCATCTAGCAGGCAGTCTTTATCTTTATAAGCTCTGAGATCTTAAACATTTTTATTTCAGATGCAAGTAATAAACTTGTAATCACTGAAGAGGTTGGCCTTGAAGTGGAAAATACTAGAATAAAATACTAATACTGATCTCAAAGACGTCCTAAATAAATTCTTCCAAAATAGAGCTAACGACTAATTCAGAGTGATTCGGTTTTCAGTTTTTTCCTCCTCCTTTTTGTCATTTGTGCATCCAGGATTATAAAGCTCTTAAAATTTTTATTATTGCTTGCTTTCTTTTTTTGTTTTGTTTTTGTTTTTAAATAAGAGTTTAATAAGAGTTGGAGATGCAGCTCCTGCTTCTTACCTTTTAGTCCAGTATCTTGGATCTAAATGAAATGAGTTCCTAGAATGCTGCATGCATATATTTAGTGTAATACTGCTTTAAGTAACAAAGCTATGTGATTGTTTTATATCAGGTCGCCAGGTTGGTTCAGACAGCACATGCAGAGAAAAGCTGGAAAAGACCATCATTTTGTACACTAAAGTTGTGAGTTGACCCGTCTATTAATTTATGATGATATAAATGACTGCATTAGTTGTTCATGAATAGGTTGTGCATTCTGCCTCTGAGGCTGGCCTGTTATAGCTTCTTCTTTAAAATATTTAAATTTACCACTGTTTTTATGTATCTGTCCTTGTGTTCTGTCTACCCCTTCCTCTCACGTAGTTGTTAGATTTCCTGGAATACCATCCATGCGCATTTATACCGCTAATCCAGCGCTCCCTGGAGTTTGCTGTTACCTACGTGTTCACGCCTGCAGGAGAGGGAGTGACCTTTGAACGTTTTATTGTTCAGTGCATGAACCTCATCAAGATGATTGTAAAGAATGATGCCTACAAACCCGCCAAGAACATTGATGGTAAGTTGTGAGTGTCTCGGGGAAAGAGGAGTCTGAAGGGTTGGAGAATAACTGAAAAATATACGTGATAATACTAAAAATTAAAATGATGCTCTCTGTAGGTAATAAACATTTCATTTTAGGTTTGTGATTTAAAAGTCAGCAGAAATGCCACAAGCCCTTGAATACGCGTCACTGACAGCGAGTTTCAATAGCACAGGGCTATAACGCCATCGGTGTCACTGTACTTTATCGCAGCTCCATGTATTTTTTCTTTTCTTTTTTCTTTTCCCAAGCTGTCTGAGGTTTCTAGTGCTTCATTAGCAAATGGCACAGCAGTTGGCCTTTCTTGTGTCAGCTAGCATAATCTCTGGGGTTCCTTACTCGAGAACTTTCCCATTCTAACAATCCAAGGTTCTGGGTTTCATTCGAATATCTGACTGTGTTGTTGTGTCAGAGTTGGTCATGACTTCAGGTTTGCTTTCCTATAACAGAGAAGATAAATGAGGAAGTTAAAGGGCTGTTTAATTTTCTTCTTTTACTGTAACCTTAAATCATGCACAATTAATACAAAATAAAAAATGAGCAACAGAGCAGATTTTTTTTCTTTTTCTTTTTACCAGAAACACTATTAAAATGAATTATGATTTTAAAGTTAATGAGCAGACAGCAAAAATGAGTCACACTTGAGGATTACTTCAGCTGCTCGTTGCCTAAAATTAAGAGATTTTGCCTTGCAGTCCTTATTTATATTTAGGAATCTTACGTACTAAATGTCTGTAGCAACACTACTGCTATAATACAATGTTTGTATTGTATTAAGTAACAATATTTTTTTTTTTTTTTTCCTTTTTTTTCCCCTAAATGTAGTAACAATATTTTGAAGAAAAGTGTCTGTGTTTGTGATGACTTACGACTGAAATGTTGTCTTTTTCCTTTATTTATTGTTGTATTTCTCCATCCTTCAGACAGTAAACCAGAGAGCCTGGAAGCTCACAAAATCAAGACGGCATTCTTCACCCACCCCACACTGACAGAGATTGGACGTCGGCTTGTCTCACACTACTTCCTTCTCACAGAGGAAGAGCTAGCAATGTGGGAAGAGGACCCTGAGAGCTTTGGTAATATCACATCTACAAATATGCTCGCAAATTTGAACTTGTATGGATTTTGCAATGTCTGGTTTTTTTTTTGTGTATTTTAAATTTTGATGTATTAGGGAGAATCTACAGCATTAGGTAAATGATTGCTACCATCATATGACCATATTATATTAATACCCTTCATCCATAAATTGGACAGTTTGCAGATTTAAAGCAATTTAAATCAATATTTTGTGATTTATAATACGTATTTTTGATTCTCCTTAAAACTGTCAATTGACATAATTTATAGGGTATAGCTCTTGGTGCGCGTTTGTAGTTATAGGCAGCATTTGAGATCTTGCTATATTTTCAAAACATAGTGTCCTCACAGGCTTTATGTAATGACACTGACCACTCAGACATAACACTTCATAAAGCTAAAACCACAAGGGCCCAGTGTGGGAGTTCAGTCTGTTGACATTTGAATCCAATTTTATAGTCAGTCAGAGCCACATATTAGAGTGTGTGTGAGAAAACACACTTGCAATTTCAGGGCTTTGTCATAATATATATGATGTTTCTGTTGTGCAGTGTCAGCCATCACCTCCTAATCAACATTTTCTAATAGATAATTATTTTTTGTAACTGTTTCAGCTGTGGAAGAGACAGGTGGTGACTCTTGGAAATACAGTCTGCGGGTAAGTATATTTTTATATGCATCTATATATATGTGCAGAGAAATTGTAAATTAATAGGGTAGCTGTGGCTCAGGAGGGTAGACCAGGTCATCCACTAATCAGAAGATCAGTGATTCAGTCCCCTCTACCAGTACGTTCATGAGCGTTTATGGATAGGTGAATGTTTTGCTTTGCTTTGAGTGCTCAGTTAGAATAGGAAAGTGCTATATGAGTTCCAGTACTTTGAACTGTTACATATATAGCACACTGAGTTGGTATGGAAGAACGGTCTGTTCGATCTTATGCTCAAAAGAAGGAAATTAAATATCATCATACAAAAAAATAAGCATTAGAGGAATTATTAAAGCAAAAATAAATCGATCCCCTGTGTTTTTGGGTAAAACTGAATGTCGAGAACAGACAGAAATCAATTATGTCTGTCTTTACGATCATAAAAATGTAGATTTAAATGATCATAACAGCCAGTTTCATTAAAGTTAATTGCAGCGGTATTGTTACATATTTCTATGTGTGCTGTATTTTCAGAAATGCTGTGCAGTTCTGTGGTGGTTGACTGTATACATGGCAGCATCATAAAACATTTAGTGGCGCCTGGAGTTTTAAAGGTTGTCATGAGTCTAGTTAGTTTTAGAGGCTGTTGCTGATGCATGACATAATCTTTTATCCATGGTCCTATTTCTTCTCTATCCCTCTCCTGTGTTGTGCCCCATTCCACTTACTTTCATCACTTCAGATGACAAATGTCTGCCCTGCTGTTTCTTTGAAGTACAGTAACACATTCTTTCAGTGAACTCTAAGCCTTGTACAAGTTTTTATGCATTTAAGGCATGCAGCAGCAGAAGAAAAGTGGCATTATGGTCTAAGAACTTATTAAACATCTAATTACTTCAGTTTTGAATTTTTCTAGAAAACAACAATTTTGTGAATTTCCATACCTTTTAATGCATCGGTGATTCTGATTT